ACTGTGCCGCTGGCGACGGGAGTGAACCCCAGAGTGGGAAAATGAAGGTTATCCTTGGGAAAAAAGAAATTACTAAGTTTAACGGTGGTGTTGCTGCTCTGATGGCTATCTCACCCCTCGGGGTGTTTACGTCCCCCTCCCCAGCCCCGGCGCAGCACTGGGGTGGGAAGGGGCGATGCGGGCACGGGAGCTGCTCCACCCCTCGCCCTGTTTACACCAAATAAACCTCCTGCGCTGGCAGGCTGGCACTCGCCTTAAAAGACAGGGAGGGTGATGGGGACAGAGGGGACCTGGCAGCGGGATGCACTGGGGCCTGGGCACATGCTGCAGGTCGGGGTCAGCCTGCCCCGCTCCCCCAGGAGGAGAGCCGGTGGCTTCCCCATGGCCGAGGGTGACAGCATGGGCGCCGGGCAAGGTGAGTGAGCTGCAGCCGGGGACAGACGCACGTCTCACGCCAGGGAAGATGGCAGCAGGCTCTTGCTTGTGCCAGGGGCACATCCAGCGCAGGAGAGGGACCGCGGCAGACCCATGTCCCCTTCCCCAATGCCCCCAGCACGTCCCGGGGTGGGCAGGGCTGGAGCCACCAGCCAGCACCCTGGGCTGGGTCACAGGTGGCCGGGTGGGCTCGGGTCGGTGCCCCTCAGCACTTCGGGCAGGGCGGCTGCCTGCGAGGATGAGGTGAATTTGGGGACCACCTCCATGCAACCAGCCCCGCTTCGCCCCCGATGTTCGTTATAGCCGGGTTTCTAGGGCTAGAAGCCTGCACGGCCGCACCCAGGGTCTGTCTGTCTCCGGAGCAGGGAGTCGGGCTGAGCAGCGACCGGTTAAAACTGCTGCCCCTTCCCTGAACCAGAACTGAACCTGATCTGCTGGTTTTGCTGGACTTGAGCAGGGGCCAAACCAAACCGGAGAGCAGGAGGCAGAGACGGACCCAGCCTGGGAGCAGCTCGGGTGCCCGGAGCCCCTCGACGTGCCACCACGTGCCACCACGCATGCAGCACACGGGGCCAGGGCTGTGGTGTCCCTGTGTCCCCTTGGGGACAGAGCAGAGAGGTTTGGCTCAGTTCAGATCTATCCTAGACTCCCCAACCCAACTGAACACATCCAAGATAAATAGATCAGGGAATTAGTGTGTGAGCTAATCGACTTCATGCTTGCCAATTAATCACCACCCAGCAGAACTCACCCACATGGAGACAACTCCCACCTCCTCGCACAGGGTCTGGAGCTGAGCCCAGGGGAAACGCGGCTCTCTTCTCTCTAGGAGGAGCTCAAACTCTGCTCTTCCCGGCACAGGGCTGGCGGCTGGCACA